ACTAGATGGATAGTGGCTGGTAGGTCTTTCATTTATATATGGATAGTGGCTGGTAGGTCTTTTATTATATATGGATAGTGGCTGGTAGGTCTTTTAATACAGATGGATAGTGGCTGGTAGGTCTTTAATACAGATGGATAGTAAGTTACTAAGTGTGCATTGTCTCTGCAGTGCTTGTGTTTAGTGTAAAATACATTATATATAAATATATGTGTGTGTGTGAATCAAATAATATTTGAGGATCAACAAGTCTTACGATTCCAATTCTTCTAATGTATAAAATCATTCAAAATATTAGATAATGAAACATAAACTTGTTCTAGTCTTGGGGTTGGGCCTAACACGCTCACCTGTTCATCCTCTTGGACTGAGGCGGCTAGAGGCAAACCATCCACCAACCTAGCTATCATTGTCATCAGCACCATATTTTTCTGTTATACCTCGTGCACAATTTTTAAAGTTTTTTCCTTATTTCAATTTCATCCTACACAATAATTTTCAAATTACTCTAAAATTAGGCCTTCATCCTTGGTTATGCTGTCTATGAGACAACGAACCAATAACTTAGTAAGGATTCTCTCGCCGCTACCAAGTTGTAATTAAAATAAGTGGCGACACCTGCATTCAAAAGGTAGACTTGGAACTGAAAATTTTTGACAAGAAGATTTTTTTTTGTTTTAGCAAAAAGCCACGCAATAGGCTATCTGCACTCTGTCCATCACAGGTAATCGAGCCCCAGAATTTTTAGAATAGTAAGTCCGTAAATTTAACGCTGACTCACTGTGGGACTGACAAGAAGAAGCGAGTTAATAGTCTCGGAGAGTTCATGTATTCGCTTTTCTCAATTTTATGAAGATTATAATTTATCACTCAAAAATGTGAACATTAGTTAATGTAAACTAAGAATCTAACTTTACATTGCCAAGAGAGCATCATTATACCTCATGAAGTCTGTTACAGATGCAAACTATAAAGTATAAATTGAATAGGGAGTGGTCAATAGAAGACCAAAGCTTCTACATCATTTTTTTCAGCGCTTATAGTGCTACTCTTTGTAATAAATATATGTACACCAATATTTCAAACATGCACAGAAAATGAATTACAAATACAGAAAAGTGCAGATGAATGAAATATTCATTCATACAACAAAATAAGTCTTTAATAGTATCGTTTTGAGTTTACTAACTGATTAAGTACATTTTATTACTAGTTACAGCTTTTACAATAAGTAAGATTTGTATTTAAAACAAGTACGATGTTTCGATCACTAGCGCGATCATTCTCAAGTACATAAGTTTTAACGGTAAAGAACAATTTAGTATTTAAATTAACATTTACAAATCTAACAGTGCATTTAACTTCTAGAATTGATAGTGGTTACTTATGCATGTACATATCAATCCGTGTGAATTAATAGATTATTTATTTATGACTAAACAGAAAAAACTAAAAAACAAAAGTAAATATATATATATTGTTACGTCTCTGTGTTCGTTTGTTAATTTTCCGTAGAAATTTTTTCCGAAAAACTTCAGCAATACAAGTCCTTCCTTAAATAAAACTAGTTTATTCTTTCTCAATACAAC